GGGGGGGTTATCCACGAAGGGTTTTTGTCTGTGGGCTATTGTCCAGGGGATCTTTGTCCGATTACCAAATGCAACTGGTAGAGAAAATCAATATCTGGAGCAAACAGTTTTGATTTCACTAAAATATATGTTCTGACAGAGGACAGGTATATCATATTCAAAATTACAGGGGATGGCTTTGAATTGCAGTAAATATACACCTTCCCACATCAGGGCCTCGGTTGCAGATCGCAAAATTAAGATCTTCAGCATCTGAGGATGGCAGTGGTTGCTTGACTCGCCTGACCATAATATGCCAGACTGCATTTCTATGGATTTGCTAAACTAAGGGTGATCAGATCTCTAACTTGGTCAGTCGCAACTTATAGATATGAAAGTTAGATTATCAGTGATGCACAGCGATCAACGATTGAGTCATTTAAGGAAACTCTTGCAGACCTCCTGGAAGCTCTGCAGAATCATGAATAAGCCATGAATTAACTAAGCACTGGATCTCTAGGCAAATACAGGAGCGAAAACTATTTTATTTTACATTCTTTACTTTATTTTACAACACAAGGAAGAATCATGACCTCGTGATAGAAACGGTAATATAAGACATTTATTTCGGCAGAAGACCAATAGGAGGATGGGAAACACTCTCGTTAATGGAAGTACACATTGGAATAAGCTTAACATAATTCACATGACTAGGCTTATACAAGACTACGATAAATGACATAAAATTGTACATGATGCCCTCAACCCTATGCAGAGAAAATGACGCCACGCGTTCATGTTCTTAACTTATTACCTGTTTAGAGTTAATCTTAGTCAATTATTATGCAGTTCATTACATGCCTTTAACAAATGTATTATTTAGAAATAATTACTTTTTCGTATCCCATTTTGTCGAACACGACGCCAGTTGCCGTGCAAGCATTTCACATGAATCGATTAAGTGCTTGCTATTACTTATCACTCCTTTTGACGCCATACCAGTTCTAATGAAGTGTTTCCGTCTTGTTCATAATCCTTCTGGCGGCCACCTCCATCGGGCTTTGCGTTCCGTATTTGTTCCAAAATGCTGCATTGTTCTTTTGCTGGCAATGGTTCCTTCATCATAAACACCGTTTTTGTAGCGAACACCATCATTTTAGATGGATGTTCCAATCTTTTTCCTGCTAAAGCATTTTATATCAGATCTTGCCATTTTATCCCTAATGCTGATCTCAAAATCCTCATTTCTACCGCAGCTTTCAATCTTCATCTGTGTTACATGGAAGATAACCTTCCTAAGCGCAAGCTCTGTCAATCTTCAACTTTTAGCAACGTTAGTGTCAATATTTTTGTCTTTCCTGAGCTTAAATAGCTGCTAATGCTAAAGCAAACTGCCTCTTAACTTGGTTTCTCATTCTTCCTTCGGAAACCAATGTACGCTCAAGAGATACTGGAATTTCTTTCCACGACTGCGGTATCAAGAGTCAGAGAGACTTCGACCTCACTTTTATCAGTATCCATCTACTTCGACTTTCTGAAGCTAATCGAGAGGCCAAGATTGGAACACTTCTGCTTCAGAGTTTGGAACAGTAATGCCGTAGCCTGTAAGTTGTCTGCGAGCAACGTGGCTTCATCCGTCATGCCAGAGA